GGGGAGAGATGGATGGATGGGTGGGTGGAAGGAAGGAATGAAGGTGGGAAGGGAGGGAGGAAAGAGAGAAGGAAGGAAGGAAAGACAAAAAGAAAGGAAGGAAGGAGAAAGAGAGGGAAGGAGGGAAAAGGGAAGGAAGGAGGGAAGGATAAAAGGGAAGGAAGGAGGGAGTGAGGAAGAAAGAGGGAGGAAGGAAGGATAGGATGGTGAGAAAGAGAGAGAGGGCCTGAGAAAAGAGCCCAAGGGGCCACATCCAGCCCCCAAGCCTGGGTTTCCCCATACCTGGGTTAGTAAGTTCAGAACTGAAGGTTGAGCTGCTCCAGAGAGCACTACACAATGGTAGAGATGAGCTTCTGTATTCCCTATTTCCCTCTCTTATCCTTTACATTGAGGGAATATATGACATTAAGCAGTAATAAAGTCTTGTGGTCAGATATATAATGGCTTTGAGCTCTAGTCTTAGCCAAATCACTATTTCACTGTGCCCCTTTAAGCCAATTGCTTGACCTTCTTATGCCACAATCAAGCCCATTGTCAAATCGGGTAAAAGCAAAGCTACAGCAGAAGGGATAAAAGAGTCAGCTAATCTCAGACTGCATTTCCCACCCACCTTTAACACACAAGAGCAGCATGTTTCAGAGTAAAGTTGAACACCGAGCTTTCCCTGTAGGTTCACAACAGCAATGGCTTTTAAAAACCAAGCTAATTAATCACGAGTGAGAATGCATGCTTTCTCCCAGAAACGAGGAAGAAAAAAGTCTCCAGGTACCCAGCGACTAATTATAGGAATCACAGAAGAATATCACTTATTTATTAACACGCTGGCTTATTTCCCTTCCCATGCACACGTCGCAGCAGTCCATTCCAGCAGCAAAACACTGCCTGTTTGCAGCCAAATACTTCCACCTGAAACACCAGGGAAAACCAAATGCTACTGCAATGTGCTAGACTGCCAAAAGCAAATGAGTCCTTAGTTTTATTGCCCAGTGATCTCAGACCTTTTGAGACAGAACATTTTAACATACACAATAAGGAGGATGATTCCCCTCAAATGTATCTTTCAGAGAATAAAAACCTCCATTTCCCCAAAGTGTCAGAAGCATTTTGCAACAGGCAGTCAAAGGGAATATAGGAAATCCTTACCATTGATTAGCTCTTTTGGTGGAACGCTAAGCACTGAATGCTTCAGACAAGAAAACAATGATAACCGATTTCATCCTATTGATCCAAGGTGTTTTTAAAAAAGAAAAGGAAAGTCTGCAGTGCTTAGACATGGCACACCTGTTAAGACACTTCAGTATTGCTTCGGGGGGGGGGGGGGGGGACAGGTGTCCACAGCTTGGCCCAATTCAAGATGGCACACATCCAAGTTTACTAACTAATGATGGTCAAGTTGAGATAAAGTTTGCACCTCACAAAGAAGATTAAAATGTGTCAAGCATTATTGTGGTTTATCAAAACAGAGAGGGATAAACACCAAAGGTCAGGCCCATGAATGAATGGAAAGATCAGATAATACAAATCAATAGGTGGGATAGGAAATGCTGATGTTCCACTTTGTTTTTAATTGTTCAGCACATGCAAATCTATACACATAATAAAAGTGAAAAAATGTGTATATGTGTATGTGGTGGAGGGGTCCACTTACACAGATAGACTCCCGTTTTCACAAAGAGCTATAACTTCCACCATTCAGGCAACACCAACAACCCTCCCTCCAAGGTACATTACAGGTTACAATGAACACAACATCCCAGGGTTCCTTTCTCCCTCTATTGGTGTGGAATTTGCATGACCCTGCCCATTGCCTCTCGCTTAACACTTTCCTACCATTTCCTATGGCAGACAGCAAACAGAGGAATTGATCAGCAACTGAACAGGGGTTTGGGGGACTGACTCAACAGGATGGAAGTTGTAGTTCGCCATGCATCAAGACACAGGACTGTGGCCCTGACCCACAATGGGCCTGGACCACATTTGGCATACAGAACCCCCATGACCAATTGAACATACTGCAGGGGTCTGTGGCAATTGCCCTTGGTTTTGGGAGTTGTAGTTCAACTACATCCAGAGAGCACTGAACCCAGCCAAATGACAGATCTGGACCAAACTTGGCACACAGGCCCAACATGGCCAACTGTAAATACTGGCAGGGATTGGGGGTGATTGTCCCTGGCACATGGGAGTTGTAGTTCACCCTTATCCAGAGAGCACTGAACCCAGCCAGCATCGGATCTGGTCCAAACTTGGCGTACAGACCCAACATGGCCAACTGTAAATAGTGGCAGGGTTTAGGGGGAGGGGTGATTGTCCCTGGCATAAGGGAGTTGTAGTTCACCCTTATCCAGAGAGGACTGAACCCAGCCAATGACAGATCTGGACCAAACTTGGCACACATGCCCAACTGTAAATAGTGGCAGGGTTTGGGCGGGGAGGGGGGGGAGTGGTGATTGTCCCTGGCATAAGGGAGTTGTATTTCACCCTTATCCAGAGAGCACTGAACCCAGCCAATGACAGATCTGGACCAAACTTGGCACACATACCCAACATGGCCAGCTGTGCATACAGATCTGGTTAGTGGGGGATTGACCCATGATTCTGGAAATTGTAGTTCACCTACATCATTATGTGTTTTCTAATGGGAGCATACATAAACAACAGAATGAAAGACTGACTTTTTTCTAATAAATAGTGTTACTAATTAACTAAATGATATTACCTAACACCCCAAAACAAACAATGCCTTTTTCAAACAACCCGGGCACCGAAGGGTACCCAAGCTAGTAAACAATAAAAGATAATGAGAATACTGTCACGAATAGGCTGTTCACAAACCTCCAAACAGAACTTTCCTTTCTTATATGAGGTGGAAATAACATTGCAGATCCTTCTGATGGCTGCCTACTGAGCATTATGAAGTAAGATGCATCTAGCTAAGTGTTCCTAACCTAACAATGTCGCTTTCATTGCTCTATCCAGCCGACACATTGCATGTAGTAACAGCTACATCCTCCAACGCTCAGAATAAGACTTCAAGGGCGCCACCTTTTGATGAGACTGAGTCCAAGGAAGAGGGGGGAACCCAGCCATGCCTCCAATGCACAAACTTTCAGGGATGTCTCCACTCCCTGTTCCAAAGGAGGGGATCCTTTAATTGCCTCTGAATTGCCAGAAGAGGCATGATAAACGCAGCGTTTTCTCCTCTCCACCCACATGACCAGAGGAGGAAGGGGTGCGCGCATATTTCGTGTCTTCTATAGACTAAATCAAACCACAGGTTCTAAATGGCATGGGCAGCCAGGGTCCCTCCTACATGTTCACCCCACATTAATCACTCCAAGTACAGACCCACTGACTCTTTTGCAGGTGCGCATGTGTGAACAGGGGGAGGGGGAGGCGGAAAAAACCACAGTGCGGCTGCATCATAAGCAAGGCAACGAGGAGCATTATAAAAAAAAAAGAAGGAAGAAATTTTTCCTTCCCAGCAGAAAGAGAAAAAAAGAAATCAACTTTCCTCCAGCAACTCATAGACAATTCTTTTTCTCCTGAAATGGAAAGCCTTGAAAGGGAACTCACCCTCAAACAAAAACTTTTGTTGTCCAAGGCTTTCATGACTGGAATCACTGAGTTGCTGTGAGTTTTCCAGGCTGTATGGCCATGCTCCAGAAGCATTTTCTCCTGACGTTTCGCCCACATCTAGGGCAGGCATCCTCAGAGATTGTGAGGTCTGTTGGAAACTAATCAAGGGGGATTTATGTATCTGTGGAAGGTCCAGGGTGGGGAAGCTGATGAACACAACCTACAAACTATCTCCAAAGCTACTAAGAACATCCAACAAACGCTACATTCAGCAAAGGACAAGAGGAATCCTCTCTCCATTGCAGGAATCTACTGTATACTATGGAGCTGTGAAAAAGTCTACATAGGGATCACCATACGCAGCTTTGCCCAAACATGAATCAAGCAACATGAAAGGCACTGCAGACTACTTCAACCAGAGAAGTCAGCCAGAGCAGAGCACCTGATGAACCAACCTGGACGCAGCCTATTATTTCAGAACACAGAAATGCTGGATCACTCTAACAACTACCGTGTCAGGCTAAACAGGGCAGCCATTGGAATCCACAAGCATGTGGACAATTTCAACAAAATGGAAGAAACCATGAAAATGAACAAAATCTGGCTACCAGTATTAAAAAAAACTCCAAAATCACGACAGTCAATAAAGAGCAACACTCTGAAAACAGGGGAATTCCAGACTTGGAACAATCAGGGCCAGCTAACACTTCAGGCAGGAATCAGCCATGCCTTGAAGCTGCAAGGCTTTGCAATGCTAATCAACATGATTAATTACAACATGCACACTTGCCTCCAACAGGCAAGAGTTCTTTATCCCACCCTGGAACTTCCACTGATATATAAACCTCCCTTGTCTAGTTTCCAACAGATCCCTCAATCGCTGAGGATGCCTACTATAGATGTGGGCGAAACGTCAGGAGAGAATGCTCCCAGAACATGGCCATACAACCCGGAAAACTCACAGCAACCGAGTGATTCAGGCCATGAAAGCCTTCCACAACACAATGTCGAAATTGGCCATCTTGATTAGCATTTAATGGCCTTGCAGCTTCAAACCAACCAGCCAGGCTTTGAATCTGCAAGGCCATTCAATGCTAATCAAGGTGGCCAATTGCAACATCCAAGCAGACAAGAGTTCTTTCTCCCACCCTGGACATTCCACAGATATATAAACCCCATTTTTCTAGTTTCCAATAGACCTCACAATCTCTAAAGATGCCTGACACAGATGTGGGCGAAACGTCAGGAGAGAATGCTTCTGGAATTTGGAAAAGTCAGGGCAACCTAAAAAACTTTGGAGAGAGCTGAGCAAGCGTCTGCTCAACGCCTTGACTTGCCATCAAGAGAGCGTTAGGAGGGAGGGGGTGTTTAGCCCCCGCTTTTCTGACCCCCAAATCCTTCCCTCCTCCTCCTCGACTTACGCTGCTGTTGTAGCCGGACCAGTGCACCATGGCTTGGTTGTGGGCCGAGTCTCCGTTGAGCGCAAAGGTGGTGCTGGTCAGCCTCAACTCCTCGCTGCCTCCTGCTGCTCCTCCTGCGCGCAGTTTGCCCATCCGCCCTTCCTCTCGGGAGCCTTTGCCTTGAACCCGGGCGGATCTTTGGCCCTGGGTGAAAGAGGATCCCCCATTCAAGCCCTCGTGGGCCCTTTCCTCCCCGAAAGCGTCCGGCGCAGAAGCCTGCTCGCTGTCCCTCCGCGCCCGACTCCTCTTCTTCCCAAGCGAGGTGTTCCCTTTACCCACCAAATCCCTCCTTTCCCTTCCTGGGATGCTTTCACCCCCAACTTGACCAGCTGGGCTCAAGAGAGACGCTTTGCCGAGGCTTTGGGCGGCTCCCAATGCTGCCATCGTTCCAAGCCGCGCTTTTCCGACATCCTTTTGGTTCTGAGGCGCGCTTTGGGTTGCTGCTCCTCGGTGCTGCGCTTCTCCAACAGCGAGCGGCTTTTGGGGAGCCTCCCGAGCCTGCCATCCTTCAAAGCTAGCTTTCCCTTGCAGGGTTTCCCCTTCTTGCTCCAAACTGCCGCTCTTTCTCGGCCCAAGCGACACTCCCCGAGGAAGCTCCAAAGGCGGCGGAGGCGAAGGCTGTTGCTGAGTCCGCTTCCCCCGGAAAGGCGACAAAGAAGCAGCCCAAGAAGCCCGGCAAGTGATCTCAGCCTCGGTGAAGGACCCGGAGCCGAGCAAAAGCCATGCCCAGGCGAGCCAAGCCAAGGAGCAGCGAGCCTCTCTCTCCATGCCTTGCAAGAGAGAGAAAGGAAGGAAGGAAGGAAGCAAGGAAGGGAGGAAGAGAGTTGAGTGCGGAGCAGAGAGGCGCGCAAGGCGAGCGGAGGGGAGGAGGGTCTCCTCTTGTTTAAAAGGAGGGAGGGAAGAGGGGGGCTCCTTTGCCAACCCCAAGGTCTCCTCTCTCAGCCTGGGAGAGAGAGAGAGCGGCGCGATCCCACGCGAAACACAAATCCCTGCGAAAAACTCCGGGAGTTTGGATCCGGTGCCTTTTCCCCCCCGGATGGTGGGTTTCCCCTCTTTCTTTCTTTCGTCCTTTCTCTCTCCCTCCCCAAAAAAGTGCTTTTCAGTGAAACTGTTCACGTCCGAGGATTTGATGGAGTCAGAAGAGGGGAGGAGCCGCCGAGAAGGAGCCAAAGGAGGGGGAAAAAAGGTTGGAAATCCACCAGCAAGTCGCCAAGCGGGGAAGCCGGCGCTCTCTCGCTCTATATATATATATATTTCTCCCGATCTCTCTCTCTCTTTCTCAGTCTCTCTCTCTTCCCGTGTGGCTCGCTCTGGCCCGCCTCTGTGGGGACGCAAACGGCGGCGAGGAACGACACTCGGGCGTGTTGCGTGGGCATGAAAACAACAACAGCGAGGGAGAAGCCAAGAGGAGGAGGAAGAGAGGAGGAGGCGGGTGGCAATCCTTCTGCCCGAAAACACGGGAGCTTTGGCCAAAGTGGAGAGAGAAAGGTTGGGCACGAAAGGATGGAGGCAGATGGTCTTGGGGGAGATTCCCAACCCTCCGAGGAGCATCTCCTCTGTCGCTGCTGCTTCCACAAGAAGACACTGCGTCTACACTGTGGAATGAATGCAGATCGACAGTGGCACCACTTTCGATGATATAAAGGCATGGAAGGGGCAGTTTTACAACGCCTTTTCTCTCCCTTTGCCAAGAAGTGCTGGTGCTGAGGCTGGTCACTCGCCAAACTGGGAATCTCAGGATTCCAGACTCGAGCCAAGGCAGTGCCAAGTGGCCCCAAACAGCATCCATTCCACACTAGAGAATGAATCCACTTTAAATCCGGTTTCCTATGGAAACAGCCGAGACAAGAGAATCTCCTCGAAGTGGACTGCTGTGAGTTTTCCGTCTGTATGGCTACGTTGCCCCAAGAGGCATTCTCTCCTGACGTTTCGCCCACATCTATGGCAGGCATCCACAAAGGTTGTGAGATTTGTTGGAAGCAAGGCAAGTGGGGGTTATATATCTGTGGAATGTCCAGGGTGTTTGAGGCAAGGGTGAGTGCTGCAATTGATCACCTTGATTAGCACTGAATGGCTTTGCAGTTTCAAGGCTCGGCTGCTTCCTGCTTTGAGGAATCCTTTGTTAGGAGGTGATTAGCTGGCCCTGATGGAATGTCCAGGGTGGGAGAAAGAGCTCTTGTCTGTTTGAGGCAAGTGTCAGTTCTGCAAATGACCACTTTGATTAGCACTGAATTGCCTTGCAGTTTCAAGGGTTGACCGCTTTCTGCCTGGGGGAATCCTTTGTTAGGAGGTGATTAGCTGGCTGTGATGGAATGTCCAGGGTGGGAGAAAGATCTCTTATTTGCTTGAGGCAAGTGTGAAGGCTGCAATTGATCACCTTGATTAGCATTGAATGGCCTTGCAGTTTCAAGGCTTGACCACTTCCTGCCTGGGGGAATCCTTTGTTAGGTGATGATTAGCTGGCCCTGATGGAATGTCAAGGGTGGGAGAAAGAACTCTTGTCTGCTTGAGGCAAGTGTGAAGGGTGCAATTGATCACCTTGCTTAGCATTGAACAGCTTTGCAGTTTCAAGGCTTGGCTGCCTCCTGCCTTGGGGAATCCTTTGTTAGGAGGTTATTAGCAAGCCCTGATGGAATGTCCAGGGTGGGAGAAAGAACTTTTGTCTGATTGAGGCAAGTGTGAATGCCGCAATTGGCCCACTTTGATTAACATTGAGTGGTCTTCCAGTTTCAAGGCTTGGCTGCTTCCTGCCTGGGGAAATCCTTTGTTGGGAGGTAACAAACTGACCATGGTTGTTTCTTGTCTGGAATTCCCCAATTTTTGAGTGTTGTTTTCAAGCATATGGAGAATTTCAACAGAAAGGAGGAACCATGAAAATGAACAAAATTAGGCTACCAGTGTTTTGTTTTTGTTTGTTTTTTTTTAAAAAAAAACCTCTAAAATCAGGACAGTAAAGAAAGAACAGCACTCAAAAACAGTGGAATTCCGGACAAGACACAACCAGGGTCAGCTAATCATAGAATCATAGAGTTGGAAGAGATCTCATGGGCCATCCAGGCCAAGAAGCAGGAAAATCACATTCAAAGCACCTCCCAACAAAGGATTCCCCCAGGCAGGAAGCATCCAAGTCTTGAAGCTGGCCATTCACAACATTCACACTTGCCTCAAGCAGACAAGAGTTCTTTCTCCCACCTTGGACATTCCAGAGATATATAAACCTTGCTTGCCTAGTTTCCAACAGACTTCACAACCTCTGGGAATGCCATAGATGTGGGTGAAACGTCAGGAGAGAATGCTTCTGGAACATGACCATATAGTTTGGAAAACTCACAGCAACCCCGTGATTCCTGCCATGAAAGCCTTCAACATCTCAGTGTGTTGGGAAATCCCCAGGACCTTTCTCTCCATCTTAGGTTTGTGCGTGAGAGGGAGAGAATACCAACAAGGGATGTTCACACTGTTGAATGAATGCAGTTTGGCACCACTGCCAAAGCTCACAGCTATGGAATCCTGGCATTATAACGTATTATAACGTTGTGGCATTATAACGTATTTAGCATTCTGCTGCCACCCCAAACTATACACTCTGTGATTTCATTGCAGTGAGGAAACTGCATTCATTCGGCAGTGTAGATGCACCCAGGGAAAAGCTCGGGACCTGATGGATTCCACGCTGGTGTTCACGCGTACTTTCCTTCCCGCGCATATAGGAGCGCGGATCTGCGGTCCTGGCGCCTTCCGAGTGGGGCCGTGGAAGGCGAATCTGGTGGAGGCAAGTGGGCTTGGGTGCCCCGCACACGCGTGGGACGCCACACCGGTTGCAACGCTGCGGATCCGCAGCGTTGCAACCGGTGTGGCGTCCCACGCGTGTGCGGGGCACATGCTCTGCTGACTCCTCCAAAACCTTCCCTTTCCACACAGAACCTGAGAAATCCAGAGCTGTCCATCCAACGCCTTGATACCTGGGTGCCAATCCTCCTTGCGGCTACTTCAGCATTAAAGGCGGTTCCCAGCACAGCAGCCAAAAGCTCTCTCTCTCGCTCTCTCTCTCCTCTTATCTCCGGGATTTCTTTTCTCAAGGCGGAATCCCAAGTAGCAAATGAGAGACACCCTTCTTTCTGTATATAGAGAAGTGCAGCAAGGAGGGAAGGCTAAAGGAATCCAGTTACCTTAAATGTTTGATAGCAACAGGCAGTAGTTGAGGATTTCTCTTTCCTCTTTCCTTGAATCATAAAATTGGAAGAGACCTCGTGGGCCATCTAGTCCAACCCCCTGCCAAGAAGCAGGAAAATCACATTCAAAGCACCCCTGACCGATGGCCATCCAGCCTCTGTTCAAAAGCCTCCAAAGAAGGAGCCTCCATCACACTCCAGGGCAGAGAGTTCCACTGCTGAACAGCTCTCACAGTCAAGATGTTCTTCATAATGTTCAGGTGGAATCGCCTTTCCTGTCCCTTGAAGCTATTGTTCTGCATCCTAGTCTCCAAGGCAGCAGAAAATAAGTAATCTATAAATAGGGGAGCATTCGCACAGCTTAGGCTCGTGCGCCAGCTGCGCCCGTACCTTGGGAAGTCTGACTTGGCCATGGTGGTACACGCTCTGGTCACATCCCGCCTTGACTACTGCAACGCTCTCTACGTGGGGCTGCCCTTGAAGACGGCCCGGAAGCTTCAGCTAGTCCAGCGCGCGGCAGCCATGTTACTAACAGGAGCGGGACGCAGGGAGCATACAACGCCCTTGCTGTTCCAGCTCCACTGGCTGCCGATTTGCTACCGGGCCCAATTTAAGGTGCTGGTGTTATCCTACAAAGCCCTAAACGGTTCCGGCCCAAAATACCTTTCGGACCACATCTTGGCCTATGAGCCCACGAGGACCTTGAGATCGTCTGGGGAGGCCCTTCTCTCGATCCCGCCTGCTTCACAGGCACGTCTGGCGGGGACGAGAGAAAGGGCCTTCTCGGTGGTGGCCCCCCGGCTGTGGAACGACCTCCCTGCTGACATCAGACAGGCGCCCTCCCTTCTGTCCTTCCGTAAGAGCCTGAAGACCTGGCTATTTGAGAAGGCATTCAACTGAGCGCTACGGCAACTGGTAATTGACAACTGGAACGGAATACGGATTACGATATTGGTTATGATTCTATGATGTGACGGAGCGGATTATTTAGTGTAACTAGATTATAGTGTATTATTGTTGTATTGATTTCCTGTTTTGCCCTTTTGTAAACTGTTTTTATATGTTGTGCACCGCCGCGAGTCGCCCTAGGGCTGAGAGCGGCGGTCAATAAATGCAGTAAATAAATAAAAATTAATGTTCGTTTGTGGGATTAACAGAACTCAAAACCACTGGATGAATTGACACCAAATTTGGACACAAGACACCTAACAACCCAATGTATGTCCTTCACTCAAAAAAATGATTTTGTCATTTGGGAGTTGTAGTTGCTGGGATTTATAGTTCACCTACAATCAAAGAGCATTCTGAACCCCACCAACGATGGAATTGAACCAAACTTGGTACACAGTTCTCCCATGACCAACAGAAAATACTGGAAGGGTTTGGTGGGCAGTGTCCTTTGGTTTTGGAGTTGTAGTTCACCTACATCCAGAGAGCACTGTGGACTCAAACAATGGTGGATCTGGACCAAACTCTACACAAATACTCAATATGCCCAAATGTGAACACTGGTGGCATTTGGCAGGCAATTTTCCTAGTTTCCAACAGACCTCACAACCTCTGAGGATGCCTGCCATAGATGCAAGCAAAATGTCAGGAGAGAATGCTTCTAGAATATGGCCATACAGCCCAAAAAACCTACCACAACCCAGTGTCTTATGGTGATTTATTTCCTCTGCCTTCAACACCAGGCTCTCTGGGCTCATTGGCTGAGGACATCTTTCAAGGCCAAGAATACACCAGGTATGGGTAAACTTGGGACCTCCAGGTGTTTTGGACTTAAGTGGCTAAGGGGGAAAAGGAAAGGGCCCGAGGCTGTTAGGAATTGTGGGAGCTGTAGTCCAAAACACCTGGAGGACCCAAGTTTACCCATGCCTGCTGTACACTGAGGAATGTAATGCAGTTTGACACCACTTGAATTGACATGGTTCAATGCTATGGGATCATGGGAGTTGTGGTTTTACAAAGTGTTTGTCCATTTCTGCCAAAGTTTGCTGGTACCTTCCCAAACTACAACTCCCAGGATTCCATAGCATCCACATGTCAGTTCAAGTGGTGTTAAACTGCATTCATTCAGAGCCAACCCAAAGGTGGAGAAGGAAGTCTTCCAGAAATGCCCTGGGGCTACTTTACCAGCTGCAGGGGAGAGGAACTATTGTGAGTTTTAGTCTTAATTTTGCAGGAGGTATCCAAGGCTCTTCATTT